GTGTGACTATTAAATACTCAATTTCCAAATTCATAATATGGCTTTTCTTAAGATTAGGAATGGCATCTTTACATAACAAGGCATTTTACTGTCAGTCCAATCTATACTATCAGTTCAATCACATTAACTCTAAAAAAACCCCAGCACTGACATTTGTCGATTTGAAGTTTTGTTTGTTTGCTTGATAGTTGCCTATTTTTTTTAAACATACATTGATCCTTACCTGCATTTCAAGAAGCTGGAATTCCAGTTGAAAAGACAGGGAGTGACAATTCCCGGACAACCTGTGCTTCTGCACTGTTCTGTCTCTAGCTGTTATAAAATAAAAGTTAACAAAATAACCAATTACAATTCTACTCAACAATTACTGCATTTCTTCCCAATTGATACCAGTCATCACATAAAGAATTAAACATGTTTAAAGAAACACAACAGATTTCCCAGGAGTCTGTCACTCTCCCACTACGCAAAGCACAATATTTACTCAAACTGTTTTGTCAATAAAGAAAATCTCATTGTATTTCAAAATAATTGTCTCTCTGCTAACACTGGAAGTAGAATTACAACACAGGTTTGCAGATGTAATGAACTGCACCAATATTCTCAGTACAGAAAAGGGTACAAAACTCCTTACTTTTTTCCACTGTTTTCTTGGAATGACTTGTGAACTGAAAACCAGTAAGTTTCATCAAAAAGGACAGATCTGTTTCTAGACTTTCAAGTTGAGCTTTCAGGTCTGATGGAGATTCATGTCCCTTGGATTCTCCCTGCGTTTCTCTTTGGAATGATTTTCTAGAATGGAAAAAGAAAAAAATAAAATCAAAAGGGCAAAAGAGCTGGACATAAGAACGTGTTTTGTCCCACCAGTACAGCAATATCACTAAATAAGAGACATCCGAAATGTGATCTGATGGTTTCCAGATCAAGATCAGTTTTCAAGGAGTCAAATTCCAGTTGGATCATATTGCTGGGAACAGCAAACTACTCAGATTTACACAAACACTTTCTGTTCACTGCCAGGTAGACACAGCCTTTATTACAAATCTGGAGGTGCAAGTGTCCATTTCAAGGAACATGCAACAAAAATGAGCTAAGATGCCTTTACTCATCTAAATGACTTATTTTATCCATGGATTATATATTTACTATGAAATATCAGTTAAATAATGGGATTTAAAAGCCACAACATGGCACTTCTTTAGCACATAATGAGTCACACCTCTGCATGTCCCCAACCTCTCTCTTTTTTTTCCCCCTTTTCCCAAATAAACACCCCCTGAGCTGTTTGACAGGGCACAATGGAAATGTGGCCTTTGCAGTCAACAGCTCTGCAGGGTCCACACAGTAACACCCCTGACATCATGCTCAGACTGCCTTTTAAAGGACAAAGAAAGCAAAACCCTAAAAACCCACAAACCACAAACAGAAGGCAGCAAAAATAGATCAAATATTTATTATTCGCATTTTTTCCTATACAGCCCATTTTCTAAACAAGATCAGCACTGTAAAAATAAGTTTTTGCCTCTCTGTTAGAACTTTCCTTATCCCAAACAATTCCGAAACAGAAACACTATTAATGCAATGTGTGAAAAAAGGCATACAATGACTTCAATATCTCCTCCTCAGAAAAAAAGGTGGATTCTTGCTGGATATCTTCGTACGTTTCTGTCAAGAGTTTTATTTCTTCTTCCAGTGCCTGGATTTCATCTTCATAAACTTGATAAACGTTGTTGTCCATTTCTCAGAATCAGTGTTACTCCACAAA